AGAACCAAATGAAAATGAATCATCCAGATCTTTGGGTTAAAGAAAATAGTTATAAGGGGAAGTGTACAGAGATAGGCATCTATATGTAGAAAAAAATGAGGGATACTAAATAAACTATCCATACATCTGAAGAGCCGAGAAACAATAAAAATCAGGACAGAAATAAAATGATGACTAATCAAAAAAATGAAAAAGTTCACTGTAGTAAAGAATTGCTTCTTTGGAAAGATAAGCATGATATTCAAGCCCTTAGCCAAGCTATCCAAAAGAAAGAGAACATTCAAACCAATACAAAAAGATCATATTATAGTGGATAAATCTGAAACTAAGAGGATATTCAGGAGATATTTTGAAAATTTACACTAAAATATGGAAATCTAGAAGAAGTGAATAAAATTCTAGACACATATAACTTGCCAAACTGAACTAAGAAGATATAAAAACCCAAAGAGATACAAACAGTATCAATGAAGCAGTTAATAGTGTCCCAACAAAGACTAGCCTGAACTGAGTCACTGTTGAATGCTTTCATATCGACAAAGAAATAAGGCCAGTGCTCCTCAGTGTGTTCATAAAACAGTAAATGGAGGAATACCGTTATATCTGTTCAACAAAGATAAAAGATAATTATTCCTGATGGACATAAAAGCAAAATTCTCAAAATCTTTACAAGCCAAATTCAATGACATATTTAAAAATACTTCATCATTAAGTTGGTTTAATGTCAGAAATGAAAGAATGCAAATTAGTAAACATGTTAAAACACATTAGTAGAATAGAAACATGTGTCATTTCAATAGATGCAACAATTTCCTGAAGAAGTAAATTGAAGAAGATAGTAGAAGATGGAAAAGGCAACCCATGTTCATGAATTAGCAGTTAGTCTTGACAAAATGGCCATGTTATTAAAAGTGATCCACAGACTCAATATAACCATCTTTAAAACCCTAATGACATTCTTCTAGTTCTTCACAGAACTAGAAAATATTAATATGGAAAAAACAAAGGACCTTGAATAGCTAATATACCTTTGAGGCATCACAATACCTGACAACAGATTTTAATAGAGTCAAATAGTAATAGAAACAGTATGATACTGACAATAAAACCAAGCTTGTGGCTCAGTAAAATAGAGAAACCAGAAACAAACCTATGCAGCTACCTCCATCTAATCTTCTATTAAGAGGCCAGAAACTTGGGTTGGAAAAGAAACAGGCTCAGTGCTGGTGCTGGGAAAACTGGAAATCAATGGGTAAAACAGAAACGATTGCCATGTCTCACCTGCACAAAAAATCAATTCAAAGTTGATTCTGGATGTGCATCCAAAAGAAAACAGCTAAGCTTCCATAGAGATTCCCGTGTCGTACTGTCACAATAGCCAGGTTATAGGGTAGTTCTGGGTGGGACAGAGATAGCCTGCTGAATTGACATTGTATGCTAAGAAAAAGAGGACAAGTGTGAAATGGAGATGGAGTAAGGGCTTGTATGACAATAACCAACCCATTACTCCCTTTACTTTACTTCAAGAAAAACTATTTTCTTTGAATAACCTCCACAATGAAAACCTGGGACACTGAAGAAAGTAATTAAAGTAGATACTAGATTGAAATTACTTCATATGCTCTGGGATTGGAAGAATTATTATTTTGAAAATGGCTGTCTTACCAAAAGCAATCCATATAATCCCCATCCAAATCTTAAAGCCATTCTTGACAGCAATAGAAAATAAAAAGTTAATTCATGCAGAAGCACAAAGGACCCAAGATACTACAAGGAATCCTGAGAAAAGAGGATTGATGCAGGAGGTGTCATTGTAATAAATTTCAAGTTATACTACAGAGCCTTATTAATGAAAGCATCCCAGTAAGGACACAAAACAGATGCTGATCAGTGGAATAGAAGACCTAGATATAAACCCACACATCTGCAGTCCCTTTTTTTTTTTTTTTGGACAATACTGAAAAATATTCATTGAAGAAAAGACAGCATCGTTAGTAAATGGTGTGGGAAAGTAAATATTCACATGTAGAAGGATGAAACTAGATCCCTGTTTGTTATCCGGTACAAAAAAAAATCAATTTAAAATGGATGGAAGATCTTAACATAAGAAACTCTGAAACTCTGAAACCATTAGAAGAAAAAAATAAAGGAATTATTTTAAGACAGAGGCAATGGCAAGAGCTTCCTGAATAGGTGACCACTCACTCAGAATATAATGTCAACAGTTGACAAATGGGACCTCCTGAAACCAGAGAGCTTCTGCAGAGCTACGGAAACAATGAGCAGAGTTTACCAATAGTCTACAGAATGGGGGAAAATCTGTGCTAACTGTACATGTGGCACATTCATATCTAGAATTTGGAAATAACTCGAAAGCGAAGCATTCAAACAAGTCAATAAATAGCTAAATGAACAGGTAGTGCTCAAATAATGAAACATAAATTTGTTCAATAAACACATATAAAAAGTTCAACCTCTTTATCATATAAATGCAAATTAAAATTGCATTGAGATTCTATCTCACCCCAGCCAGAATATCAGTAATCAAGAAAACGATACATTCTGGTGAGCATGTAGACCAAAGTGAGGCCTCCACTATGTGTGGGAATGTGAACTAGTACAGCCACTGTAGGAATTGGTATGGAGGTTCTAAAAAATACTAAGTTTTCCACATGACCTAGTTATACCACTCCTGGATATTTCCCCAAAGAACTCCAAGACAACATTGTAATGTAAAAAATAAAAAGGCCCAGAGACAGATATTGGGGTGCAAGCTTCAAGCTGAAGATCAGAGAAGCAAAGTAGCCAAGAGCTTTTACCTCTACCTATACTGAAGCAATGCTGCCCTCAATATTGTTGGAGACTAATTGCCTGAATCTGCCTGGAGACCAAAATGCCCCAGACTGAATGTCTGGTCCTATCTTATATATACCTCTCTAGAGCCGGGATTAAAGGTGTGGGATCCCAAGTGCTGACATCTCCTTTATGTGAGCTCTCTCTTTTAGACTGGTTCAATCTTGTATAGCCTGGGTTGTCTTGGACCCACAGAGATCCATCTGCCTTTGTTTACTGAGTCCTGGGATTGAAGGTTGTGCCACCAGTGCCCAGCTTCTATAACTAACTAGTATGTCTGGCTTTGCATTTTGATCCTTCAGGCAAGCTTTATTAAATCATAAATAATATATCATCACACAACATATCACAGAGATCCTTGCACATCAATGTTCATCACAACAGTGGTTACAGTAGTTCAGTTATGGAGTTATGGAGCCAACCTATATTTCTAGCAACAGACAAATGGAGTAGAGAACAAGAATCTGTTGTGTTTGTACAATGGAATTTCTTCATCCATAAAGAAGTATGAATCACCTTATTTTAGGAAAGTGTATGTAATTGGAGATAACACATGTCAATTAAGGTAGCTTCAGAAAAAATGTTTTTAAGACTCATGGTTCATATGTTTTATGTAGGTATGGAAAGTTATAAATGCTTGTATGACATAAATATAAAGTGAAACTGGACTCTCAGGAAATAATTAGCACTAACAGGAGGGAGGATGGGTGAAAAAGGAAGGCCATGGTAGATGGTTATGAGGGGAATTTGCCCAACATAAAATATCTACTTATAATGATCTTATGTAACAACATTATACCATACACAATGGAAAGTTTAAAACATAAATAGGAAATATAAAAGTGCTGTTAATAAAAAGGTGTTAAAAATTTTAAACTTAGTAATCAATAGCTCATGCATATATTGGCTATTTTAAATGCAATTTGTTGGGGCTTAAGTAATGAACATAATGAATAAATGTAAGTAAGATATAAATATTTGATTAACTTGTGAATTAAAAGTTCTTTTTGAATGATGCTAGTATTTGGATAGCAATGTTGTACTGATTAATCACTGTTGTATGCCAACATATTTTTAATACTTATTTAGTTAGCATATATGTGCGTGTGCCTGTGTGTGTGTGTGTGTCCATATATTATGACATGCACGGGGAAATAAGAAGAGCACTTGTGGGAGTCAGTTTTCTCTTCCTATCATGTAAGTTCTGGGGATCGGATTCAGTTTACCAGTCTTGAAAGCAGGTCCCTTTATCCACTGAGCCATATTGCCAGCTCCCACATCTCTTTGCTTTTAAAAAATAGACAATTGGGAAATACATTGCCAATACTTAGTTTCATCAGTAGTTACTTCGTTAGTATTTAGTTACATTTTTAGTATTTTCTTCAGTGTTGTTACTGATGCTGAATTTGGGAGATTTTAACACACAGCTCTATTCATACATGTAGACTCCCCATAATAAAGCTCTGAGAAGATGTCTTATTAGTGAGATAAGGGGCAGAGCTTCCGAAGGAGAAGGTTGCTCATCTAACTTTTAAATCATTAGTTTTTTTGAGGTGGAATATTTGCTGCATTTGGTTTTTCCAGATGCATGAAGCTGTCTACGTACCCTAGAGAAGTGTGCCTAAGGACAAGAGCACACTTGTCTGGGTTTGAAGCTCAGCTCTACAGGGTACTGTGCCTGAGGCTTAATCATGCTTTTCTTAGCTTCAGTTTCCTTGGAAAAATGGGTATAACATGAGCTGTGTGCATAAGGCGCCGACACCCGGTAGCTCTGTGTGTTTTATGCTCATCCTAGCATCCAGGATGCTTGGGCAAAAGGGTGGAGAGTTTGAGGCCAGCCTGAGCTATAGCGTATATTTATCTCAAGCAAAAAGCAATATCTTGTGCATAGTGTCAGTAATAGGCATTGCTGAGCTAGACTCTCATCATACGATAGATTTGTCCTATTTTTAATCTCAGAGCACTTGTTGTAAGGGTAATTTACATGGCTGCTGTGTTATTGCTGTGGCTCAACAGAGCACCACATGTCAAGATGCAAGTTTTTTGTGTCAGGAGCACAGGAGTGGGCAGAAAATATACCAACTTTTTGTTGTGATTTAAATTGGATCTCGTATTCTTGAATCTGTATTATTTTTATTTTTCAGATTCAATTCACTTCTGAGGAAAAAAAGAAAAAGAAAAGAAAAAAACCAATCTAGTGGAGTGGTCAATAGCAGCTCAATGGACCCAGCCCTGGAAAGCAGTGAGTTTGTGAACAGAACGTGGGTCCAGTGTGAGAATGAAAGCTGCTTGAAGTGGAGGTTGCTGCCTCCGGAAGCTGCGGCCAGGGTGGAGCACAGCCAGCCGTGGTATTGCTTCATGAATGCTGACTCCAGCCACAACAGCTGCTCAGCGTCTGAAGAGGATTTTCCTGCAGAGTCTCTGTTCCTTGAAAGCGGGTATAAGTTCGTCTATTCACAGCTTCCTCTGGGAAGCCTGGTTTTGGTGAAATTACAGAATTGGCCAAGGTAAGGGATTTATTTATTGTCTATTCATTATTAATTAATTATTACTTAATTACTGATATATTTAAATTTTTATTACATTTACTTATTTTCATGTGGGTTTGTGGGTCTGTGTAGATGTGTGTGTGTGTGTTGCAGTGAATCAAATACTAAGAGTTTCGAACTTGCTAAGCTAACACTATTGCCAAGCTATACTCTCAGCCCTGTGCTTTGTGTTGTTTGCATTTGGAGTGGCTTTGCTTGTTTCTAACTTTTCATCCAGAATTATTTATGATTTTACAAAACAGATTTTCATGTTTAGAGTAGCCTTGAGTTCACAATAATTGGGTCTAAGTACATTTCCATATGTCTTTTGTTCACTCAGAACTCACCCGTCCTCCATTATACCCCATACAATGTGATTTGTTAAATCAGTTGACCTATATTGACACATCCCAGTTATCTCCAGAGTTCATGGTTTACACTGTGTGTCTGGCAGGTATAATCTCCACAGTCAGTTTCTCCACCATGTGGGTCCTGGGGATGGAACTCATGTCATCAGGCCTGTTCCAAGGGCCGTCCCAATGGTCCCTTAATTGTCAATCTCTGATACTGTCTTTGTCATCTGAGTTGTATTCACTCTTCTGCTTTCTTAAATGAGAGGTAATTTAATTCATTTCTTATCTTTTCATCTTAATTTAAACAAGGCTACAAATTTTCTTTCAAGAACCGTGATAAACATTGTGTTTTATTCATCTTGAAATAGTTGCCAATTTCTCATTGAAATTAATTATTTATAAGTGTGTTTCCAAATGACAAACATTTGAGGATCTTAATTATGCTGTAGATGCTTACACATTTTTCATTAAATTTATCTGGATTTGTTATATCCCAGAGTTTTGCATTCTGGGTTGAATTTTTCCAGATATATACTGTGTATGTTCAGTGTGTAACACTTGAATTCATGTGAACTTTCCAGACATATACTGTGTATTTTCAGTGTGTAACGCTTGAATTCAGGTGAACTTTCTCAGTGTAAAGGCGTGCTGTCCCATCACACGGCTTTGGCTTTTTACTTCAGGAGTTTATGTTATAACTTAGGTAATCTTTTCTATATTTATATTTCTTTTTCTTGAACTGTTTTCATCTTGTTAGCCCTTTAAAATTTTAAATATTTTTCCTCTACATATTTTATTTCTGTGAAGGTATGAGTTCTTTTTTTTATATTCCTTCCAATTTAGCATTCATTTTTGAAGTTTGAAAAGGTTTTCATTATTTTTTCACTCTTTACTCACTCCTCTTAAGGTTTTTCTAGTTCACACATGTACATTATATCTACAATATTTAATTTTGTTGAGCAACTTGACATCTTTATGTTTTTTATTTATTTAATTTAGAAACAGTCTTTTTTTACATATCAATCCCAGTTCCCTCTCTCTATCCTCCCATAGCCACCCCCCCATCACATCCCCTTTCTGCTCTCCAGTGAGGGTGAGGCCTCCTATGGGGGAGTTGTTAAAATCTGCCACATCATTTAGGGCAGATGGCTGGATTAGCTTCTTCTTCTTCTTCTTCTTCTTCTTCTTCTTCTTCTCCTTCTTCTTCTTCTTCTTCTTTTTTTTTTTTACTTTATTATTTTTTTAATTTTACATGTCGATCCCAGTTCCTCCTCCCTCCCTCCCTCCCACCCTCTTTCTCTTCCCCCTCACATGTATCCTTACCACCCTCCTCTCCCATCCCCCACCCCCATTCCACATGTAGGGCTATGCCATTCAGGTGGGGTCATGTAAATCTCATTTGAAGTAGGGACGAGGACTTCTCTCCTGTCTCTAGGTTAAGGGAATGTCCATTCATGGGGGATGTGTTCGCAAGGTCCTTTTGTGCACCAGGAATACATCCTGGTTCCACTGTCTGAGGTCACTTAGACTGCTCAGGCCTTCTAGCTGAGACCCATGTTCAGGGGGTCTGAGTCAGTCCCATGCTGGATTCCCAGTTATCAGTCTGGGGGCCTGTTAGCTCCTCCTTCTTCAGGTCAGCTGTTTCTATGTGTTTCTGCAACCTGCACTTGTCCTCTCTTTCTTCATCTGGATTCTAGTTCAACTCAGTGTTTAGTTGAGGGTGTTTGCTTCTGTTTCCAACAGGTACTAGATGAGGGCTCTATGATGGTGGATAAGTTAGTTGTTGATCTCACTATCAGGGAAGGGCATTTATGGTAGCCTTTCCACTGTTGCTCAAACTTTTAGTTGGAGTCAGTCTTTTAGGTCTCTAGACCTTTCTTTAGGTTCAGTTTTCTCTTCCAACCAATAATGGCTCCCTCTTTTATGTTCTCTCTCTCCCTCTCTCTCTCTCTTCTGTCTTCTATTCCTACCCCGACTCAATCTTCCTAGTTGCACGTGCCTTCCTCTCTTCCCCTTCTCTTTCTCCTACTTCTCTCTCCATTCATTGCCCCACCTTCCCATGTGCTCTGGGGGATTTGTCGCTTTCCCCTTTTATGAGGGACCTTATATGAATCTCTTAGAATACACCTTGTATCCTGGTTCCTCTGGTGGTGTGAATTATAGGCTAGTGATCCTTTGCTCTAGGTCTAAAATCAACCAAACTCTTTCTACGAGGCCACAATCACCTTGGTACCCAAGCCTCACAAAGACACAACTAAGAAAGAAAACTACAGACCAATATCCCTGCTAAACATTGATGCAAAAATACTCAATAAAATACTGGCAAACCGAATTCAAGAATACATCAGAGAAACCATCCACCATGACCAAGTAGGCTTCATCCCTGTGTTGCAGGTTTAACATATGAAAATCTATCAACGTATATATCCACCATATAAACAAACAGAAAAAGAAAAACCATACGATCATCTCCCTAGATGCTGAAAAAGCCTTCAACAAAATTCAACACCCTTTCATGATAAAGGTCTTGGAGAGATCAGGGATAACAGGAACATACCTAAACATAATAAGAGCAATATACAGTAAACCAACAGCCAACATCAAACTGAATGGAGAGAAGCTTGAGGCAATTCTTCTAAAATCAGGAACAAGACAAGGCTGCCCTCTCTCTCCATATCTCTTCAATATCGTACTGGAAGTTCTAGCTACAGCTATAAGACAACAAAAGGAGATCAAGGGGATCCAAATTGGAAAGGAACAAGTCAAACTGTCTCTATTTGCAGACGATATGTAAGCGACCCAATAAAGTCTACCAGGGAACTCCTACAGCTGATAAACACCTTCAGCAAACTAGCAGGATACAAGATAAACTAAAAAAAAAAATAGTAGCCCTACTATATTCAGATGACAAAGAGGCTGAGAAAGAAATCAGAGAAACATCATCCTTTATGATAGCCCCAAACAACATAAAGTATCTTGGGGTAATGCTTACCAAACAAGTGAAAGACCTATATAATAAGAACTTTGTGGCTTTAAAGAAATAAATTAAAGAAGATATCAGAAAATGGAAAGATCTCCCATGTTCTTGGATAGTAGGATAAATATAGTAAAAGTGGCAATCTTGCCAAAAGCAATCTGCAGAGTCAATGCAATCCCCATTACAATCCCAGCACAATTCTTCACTGACCTCAAAAAGATAAGAATCAACTTTATATGGAAAAACAAAAGACCCAGGATAGCCAAAACAACCCTGTACAATAAAAGAACTTCAGAAGGCATTACCATCCCTGACTTTAAGCTCTACTCCAGAGCTATAGTTTTGAAAACAGCCTGGTATTGGTACAAAAATAGACAGGTAGACCTATGGAATCGAACCGAAAATCCTGATATTAACGCACACACCTATGAACACCTGATTTTCGACAAAACAGCTAAAAGAATACAATGGGGGGGGGGAGGAAAGCAGCTTCAACAAATGGTGCTGGCACAATTGGATGATGATGTGTAGAAGACTGTAGATAGATCCATTTCTATTGCCACGCAGAAAACTCAAGTCCAAATGGATCAAAGACCTCAAAATAAATCCATCCACACTGAACCTCTTAGAAGAGAAAGTAGGCGGTACCCTTGAACAAATTGGTATAGGAGACTGTTTCCTGAACATAACTCCAGGAGCATGACTCCAGGAGCACAGACACTGAGATCAACAATTAATAAATGGGATTTCCTCAAACTGAGAAGCTTCTGTAAGGCAAAGGACACAGTGGACAAGACCAATTGGCAGCCCACAGACTGGGAAAAGATTTTCACCAATCCTACATCTGACAAAGGGCTGATCTCCAAAATATACAAAGAACTCAAGAAACTAGTCAACAAAACACCAAGTAACCTTATTAAAAAATGGGATACAGAACTGAAGAAAGAATTCTCAAAAGAGGAAATCAAAAAGGCTGAAAGACACTTAAGAAAGTGCTCAACATCCTTAGCTATCAGGGAAATGCAAATTAAAAAAACTTTAAGATACCATCTTACTCCTGCCAGAATGGTTAAAATTAGAAAGACCAATGACAACTCATGTTGGAGAGGATGTGGAGAAAGGGGAACACTCCTCCACTGCTGGTGGGAGTGCAAACTCTTACAGCCATTTTGGAGATCAGTATGGTGATTCCTCAGGAAAATGGGAATTAGTTTACCACAGGATCTGGCAATCCCCCTCTTAGGCATACACCCAAATGATCCATATCCATGCAACAAAGACATGCACTCACCTATGTTCATAGCAGCATTATTTGTAATAGCAAGAACCTGGAAGCAACCTACGTGCCTGTCAACTGAAGAATGGATAAAGAAGATGTGGCACATCTACACAATGGACTACTACTCTGCAAAAAAAAAAAAAAAAAAAAAAAAAAAAAAAAAATGGAATCTTGAAATTCGCAGGCAAGTGGATGGAACTGGAAGAAACCATCCTGAATGAGGTAACACATTCACAAAAAAGAGGAACATGGTATGTACTCATTCATATAAGGATTAGCTTTTTTTGTGATCCTGTGGGGATGGAGGAGGCTGAGAAGTAAATTTTGTTGCTGTGGATTCTGCCTGACCTTGGCTCAGAGCTCTCAGTCC